GACCGATCCTTAACTGATTATCTTTTAAATCCTCAGCAGTGAACAATCTTCATTTTTTTGGAAGTGAATGAACAGTAACTGCATGTGCTAAAAATTTAAACTGATACATTCTTCAATTGGTGTTTCATTTGAACTACCGGGTACTTGCAGTAAATCATAGTGACAGCTTTTTGTCCGAGGTGGATTTGAAAATACAAAATATGATTTATGTTTATTGAAACTATTGGCATTTGTTATATAATCCATAGGAGCTGGTTGTGTTACTGCAGAAACATGATGTTGATTTCACAGAAGACTTAAATTCTGTTATAGAAGAAAAGTCTCCACTGAATGGCCAACTGGTCAACAGTGATTCAAACAAGAAAAGCGCATCCAAGAGGAAAGCAATTGATGTTATTGTCATTGAGGAGGATGATGATACTACTATGAATGCTGATACTTCTACCTGGGTTGTAGAAGACGGAGTACTGGTACAGAAAGTAGTTCCACCTCCACCAGTAGACATAGATCTGTTACAGAACCATTCATTTAATACTACGAAAACGGCCAGTACATCTTTAACAGCGTATAGTGGGGCAGAAACTACTGACGCAAATTTGATCAGCGACCAATCATGGAATGGTATAAATACAGAGAGTACAATTATACCGACATTGCACAGTGAAGTTGAACATTCTCCTTTCACAGAAACTACTGATGGAAATCTGTTCATCAACGAACCGTGTAATGGTATAAATACAGCAAGTACTAGTATACCTTCAACATCACATAGTGATGAACATTCACCTTTCACAGAAATATCTGGCCAGTATGGTCTGTTAGGAAATCAATCAGCAAGTTTAGCAAATACACTAAGTACAGTGCCCACTAGAGTCGAGCATCTATCGGGTACACAAACTGGACATGAACCATCCCATGCAAATCCAGAATCTACAGCAGAATCGTCATCATTGCGATTCCAATACATCATTATACATTCAGAAACCCCTGAGATGCTGAAAAACCAAATTAATATCAACGTACCAAAGAAAAATGACAATATTATGTCAACAGGTGATGAAGAAAATGATTTGTCTTCAATGAGCATAATGTCATCCTCTGAAGATGAGGAAGATGACAGTGACACGGGTAAGTTTGTTGGCTGTGTGGCTTCCACAAGTACACTTTTATTCTAATGTAATATACTCTTCCACAATTACTCTACATTTGAAATAAAGGACATAACAGTTAAATGCATACTGAAAATTTCATTGGAAGATAAGATCTATATAATAAATATATCCTTCAGCTTGTCCATATGGTTTTTGATATTCAGTAGAGTAAATTTTAATCATTACTATTTGTCAAAGATAAAGGTTGGCATCCCTGCAATTACCCCACCCATAAAATATTACACAACATAATATTCTAATCCAATGTACTCTTCTACAATTATTCCATTGTTAAACAAACTTTCAAACTTTTATCCTAGAATTGTACATTATATTCATTTTCTGTAATTTCTTTCATTGTTAAGGGACGTAATTTCCCATCAGCTACAAAGAAGAAATTTATGCAAGTTTATTTTTTATGAAATGGAACACAAATTACCATTCAGAAAGTTGAACTAGCATGTTCATTTAGGTCACCATTTTTACCAAGATGGTAATCAGTTGTTGAGAGTGGATATAAGAGGACAGGTTACATAGTGTTTTATTCCATTCTAGTCATCTGTGCTTTCTTTAATCTTGAAAAGCACAGATGACAATGTAGATGCAATATTATGTACTGCATTTCCCATGGTTCATCTGGATATGACCAGCTACTATGTATCAGTTTGCTCATACTGATTATATTATATCCTGATAGAATTCTAGCATGAGACCACTAACTGAATTGATGAAGGTGACAATGTGATTGTCTTCAAACTAACCCCTAAATATTAGGCAATTGAATATCTATACCGGTAGCTAAAATAGACTGGCATTTCAACTCATCATTTTGTGATTCACCAAAATACTAAAATGACTTACCTCATCTTGTTGATATATTTTTCAGAAATGGATGTAGACTACGATGTTCTGTGTAAAGAACCCCAAAACTCATCACCAATGAAGAGAAAGAGCTATTCATATATTTGTAGTATTTGTCAAGTAGTCTTAGAAACTGTGTCTAATTTGAGAGAACATCTTAAGAGTAAACATTCTTATAGTAAACTGTATCCATGTCGACATTCCCTCTATTGTACAAAGTCTAAAGTGGCTTTTGCACTACAAAGTGATCTAATTAACCATAAGAAAATGGACCATGCTAAACGGCCTTTGCGAAAAAGCCCTGAAAGTCAAGAAAGTACAGAAATAGAGTGTATTTCCTCAAAGGATTCTCAACAACTAACTCAGCAAATGGATTATTCTGCACTACATGTGATCAGAAACAAGGAACTAGATAGTACTTCCAGTAAGCCACCTGCTCTTGGAAATGAGAAAACTGATGTAGACAAAATAACGTCTGTTAAACCTCTTGTACAACAATGTCAGGAAAGGTACTGTAAAAACAAAAAGTGTGTTAAACAGCCCATGTTAGTTACAAAGAAAATTGATCATAAAAACAAACTCAGCAATCCTGGAGTGATGTCCTCTCATAGTGGCAAAATAAAACTACCACCAGGTTATGATAGCCTCAATGTACAACCTGTGGTTATGTTGGAAAAAATTGATTTGACATTGTACAAGACGCCTGTTATGGCAGGTTCAAAGGACAGTACACCATCTGACAAATCATATGAGACAGAAGAAGACAATGGTATCATGAGTGGTTTCATTAAGATTCCCTCACAGCAAAGTGGAAAGTCAATCCAGAGAAACAAAACTCAATCAAAACAACGGAGTGGTAAGCCAAATCAAACTCTATCACAACAAAGCAGTAAGATAAAAAGCACAATTAAAACTTCATCACAAAAGTGTGGTAAGCTAAAACAGACAAACCAAACTGCATCACGACAAATTGAGAAAATTAAGCAAACAAGCAAAACCTCTGAACAACAAACTCAGCTGCAAACAAGTAGAGAAAGTTGCATTGTAAACAAACAAAAGCATCCTTTTAGCAAAAATATACAACCTAATTGCTCGACATCTGTCCATGCTGCTGATGATGATGATGATGATGACGACGATGACAATGATGATGATGAGGAGGAGGATTATGATAATGTTAATGGCAGCAGTAATTGCAAGGTTGACAAACATTTTTTTGAGTTCAGATTTGATCGTGAAGATGATATATTAAATTTGAAACCCCAGTTCAATTCTAAGCACCAGATGTTACAAACAATGTTCACTTGTCCACATTGTGATATTATTTTCCCTGACATGGCTATGTACTTGACACATAGAAATATGCATGCAAAAAACAATCCCTTTCAGTGCCGTGCTTGTGACAAGAAATTTAGGAATAAATACGAATTCCAGCGTCACTGGCATTCCTAATTTATCTGTTGATTACTTGCTTGATATTTTGATATTATAATTTTGTGAAAATACAGACTTGTGTATCATTTTGAGATGGCAGGAGATGTAGAAATTCTTACAAAATATTTTTAGAAAAGGTTGTAGTAATTTATTTAATTATATTTATAACTACTTCCTGTATATTGAACAATTGTATGAGCAACATACAAGTGGCAACCAGTCTGTACAAGATTCACTGGATTGTTGTTGTTTTTTAAACAATTTACCAAATTTGCATGAATATGAAAGTATGTGAATAATGTCATTTTAGTTTGAGCTCTTGTGTTCGTGTAAATTTACTGCAAGTAACACTGTTGGTTTTCTCTTCTGAAGAAAACTGACATGACAACTTAAAGTACAGTTTTTAAGAGTTTGTAAAGTTTGTTCTTAATGTTTTGGATGTTTTTTTTTAAATGAAGTCATTGTTTTTGTTTTTTTAACCATTGAATTTCATATGCCAATTCACTTTTAACTTATAAAATAAGTTTTATTTTAAACTGAAATACTAAGATTATTGTGAAATTATGGGGATTTTTTATGAACGCTAGATGGTTACACTTTTGTATCTAAGTCTATTTGTCAGCTCTGTTGATGGCAAAGTGCCAGTACATCATATTTATGTCATATTAGAGCTGTACTTTTAACATATAAAATTAAAGGTTTTTTGTGTGATCTGAGATACATGTAAATGAGTACAGTTTGTTTGACTAATTTATTGTTCGATTATATTCTTTTGTGATGTATATATAAAAAAAGTATATACTTCACTGGTCTAATGGTTTTGTGCAACAGTAGTATTAACTCAGATGACTATTTAACCCTTTGTGTTATAGCTATATTCATCCTGTTGTCATGGTAATCTCTGTCCATGCTCTGAAATGATGAAACTGATTAATCTGATTTGGCACAGTTGCAGATATCTGCATATAATTCATTTGCATATCAGCATATTCCAGTATCTTGGATATCTGAAGAACCAGTAGCCACTGCCTTCTGGTTTAAAAATTTATAGCATGGGAAATTTGCATGATGGGATGTTTAGAAGAAATGCTGAAGTGACACCGATCTTGCTTGCAGAAACATTTTGTGAAATTCTGAATACTAGGGCTATTGAATTGATAATAATTTCATTATCCACTTCCCTATATTGTACATGTACTTGAAAATGTCTGCAATATTCCATCTACCTCTAATCAATCTTGAGTTGTTTAATCAAAAATGCCTATCCCAATTGGGATCCGGGTCCATTGTATCTGTGAGAATATGTCTATCTTAATTGGAATTCTAGTCCATAAGATGACAGACTTCATTAAGTAATTAATCAGGTTTCAGACAGTGCTGATCCGGAATATATATTGATGTATTTTTCAGTTAAATATTTATTTGTTATTTTTTATGTGCAAATTTGCAATGTAAAGTATTATTTAGATATACAATTACCGGTATGTCAGCTTGTTTGTTGCTGTTGTGCTGGCCACTGTGTGCTGAATGAGCTGGCATTCTGTATTGTATAAAGTGTTCAATAATAATAATATTGTTTTACTTTTTAATGAGTGTACAATTCATGAATAGTGAACAATAGTAGGAAACATAGGAATGGAACATAGGAAAATGCAAATATTTGCTCTATTATAATTAATGCATGTAAGAAGTTCACAGTAACTCAGATGTTATGTTTTTTATTTTTGTGTACTGGATCATTTGACTAATTTTGAGCACAGACACAACTCTGTCTGGTGTTTCTGTCATGTGCTACTAAAACGATGCACACACTGCATCTGACTTGAGTATTTGGTGACCTTCTTTTGAATCATACAACAAAAGCATGTTATATATGCTATAAATAATCTCAACATTTTATTTTGTCATTTTTGTATGAGCTCATGGTTACAGGTGTTTGATATTCCCAGTGCAGAGTCCTTTGGTATGTATCGTGGTAGTATTGGTTTTCGAGTTCTGACCAATGATTCTCCATTGTCTTTTGTGTCAGTGTGTATTAATAATCTAGTAAATGTTATTGACAGCTGTAAAGTTTAATAGTGTCTGGATTAGTACCATCTTGGTATAAGAGATGCAAGCACTAGTTGTCAATATACATGTCTATTTGTTAAAGTAGCCACAATATGTTTATGTTAAAATGTTTTTTTATAGTTAGCTACATATAGATTTAATATCAAAAACAGTGTGTGGCACACTGTGCCATCAACAGTTTGTTTATGAAATGCTAATCTCTATCTATCCGTACTATACCTTACAGTTGCATTGTACTTTAGTTTAAAGTGTAAGTCAAGGCGCTACTTATTTGTGTTTTTTTACTTACTAATAAACATATACTGATTTAAATCATGAGTGTTGAAATTTGTCATCCTTATATATATGTCTATGGAAGAGGTATTATTAATGAGCATGGAAGTAATTATTTGAGTTGATAAACAAGGCACATCCGGGGACTTTTAAAGACACTGTGACGTGTTATTGTCTGATTATCTAAAGTTTGATTGAGAAGTGCGTTTGTGCAGTGTGTTACAGTCTCTGGAGAAACACAGGTTTCTAAACAAGAAAACCACGAGTTTGGGGAATTTGGGTTAGAACCCTATGCATTCGAGCCTGAATACTGTAGACTCTTGTTTGGGCGTCACTGTAATTTAGTATCAGAAAAGTGAAAGGCCTTAATTTGGTTCTAAAATAGTGTCGCACACACAAAAATATTACAGATGACGACAAAATTTATG